TATACTTAAATTTAATTCATTTATTGTTATAATGACATTATCCTAATTGATATATCTTTCATTCCACAGGTGATTTGTTTTATTTTCCATTTCTCTTTATTTAATATCACCTGTGTTTCATATAACGATTTCAAATATTCTAAAGTAATATCGTTATTTGGGTATATTTCATTTTTTGTTTCTTCCTTATTCTAATTTTCTTGTTAGAATCAAACATGATTTTATTTGTATTGATTCTGACCCTTTCTTCCTTATTAAATTTAATTCTTTCTTTTATCATTGTCATCATATATTTTAGGTAATTTATTCTTTCTAGTGCTTTAACTTTTATTCCTTCTTCATCATGTTCATTTAATTTCATGATACACTTTATTCTGTACAATTTCATTGAATATATCTTCTAGTCTATTGATTTTCTTTATATTTCTTTTATTTCATCATTTTTATCTCTTATTATTTTATTTTGGAGATAGAGGTAAATACACATTGAAATCATCTTCATATCATCTTGCAGATAATGCACTCTTCTTCCTGACAATATCCATCTATTATTAATTTCTATTATTAATCGGTCAGCTTCTTTTCTTTGAAAGTAGTAATTAATGTTTGTACATTTTTCTATTTTCATTTCTTTTATTTTATTGATGAGAGTGTTAAGATATTCTTCATCAATTTCATTAGAGTTATTCTTTAATATGATGTTTTTTATTATTGAATTACACTCTACTCTTCTATTATATCATTTACTTTCACTTTAATGTATTATTTAGTATTTTGTTTTATTTTATGTGATATTTTAATATATTTAATATATTCTTTTTCATTATTTACATTAATGTTTATTACTTTTATTATACTTTCTATTTCTTCATTTCTTATTTTCTTATATAATTTTTATTTAACAAATTAATTGCAAAACAATACAACAATTCAATTAAAATTTGATTTCTTTCTTTTCTTCTTTATTTCTTCTTGTATTTTCATTGTACTTTGTTTGTTATTTATTATTCTTGTAATTTTACATCTTTCATTCATTTCTTTATTTGTGTTTTGTTTTTAATTTCTTCTTCATTTGTTTTAATGTCTTTTCTTCAATGTCTTTTGTTTTCTTTAATTTCTTCTTTAATTCTTTCAATTATCTTTTCATTTTGATTGAATATACTTCTTGTTGAATATCATTCCATCTTTTCCTCTTACCTTCATATTTTTTGAGTATTTCTGAATATTCTCCTTTATTCCATTCACTTGTTATTCTTTTTATTCTTCTTTTCTATATCATTTATTGTTATTCATTTATATTTGTTATTTGTATAATCTTTATTATTATTGTTTATCTTGTTTCTTATTTGTTTTTCTTTGTGTCTTTCTCTTTCTAATTCATTTTTCCTTGGTAATATCATTTACTTTCATTATTATTATGCCATTCATTGTTATTGACATTCGTTCTTTTATTGAATGACATGTGTATTTATCTCTTGTCTGCTTTTCTTTACAATACACAAATGTTTTATACAATATCCATTGAAATAACATTTGTTATATTTCCTGCATTGGAAAAAGAATTAATATTTTTGTATTAAGACAAAATAAAATAATAATAAAAATAAAAATTATTAAGTTAGGAGGGTAAATGATTGTCAACGTTTCTTCATAAACCAAGTCAGTCCAAAAAAAGTTCGCTTTTAGAAGAGGATTTACAAAAGAAGAAAAGAGAAAAAATAACAAAGTTACATTCATGCCAACACAGCAAGAATTTAAAATGAGGAAGTTAAAAAGAACGAAAATAAACTGAACAAAAAGTAAAAAAGCAAGCAACGAAATGCACTATATTTATCCTTTTTTCCAGAGAAGAATAAAGTTAAGAGGTTAGAACTAAAAATCAAATGAAAGGTGATAGTAAGAAATCCAATAAAAAGACATTCAAATTATTTTATGATTCTTTAGTAAATGACTTGAACCAAATTCAAAGGTATGAATATATTTTTTTTTATAATTATTTTTATTAATAATATAATATGTTATTTATATTACAGTTATAGTTTTATCAAACCTGATATTACTCCAGTTCATGCATTCGTTTCAGGAGAATATGATCCAATTTATCCAGTTATAACTTCAAGTAACCACTATGCATTTACATCAATGAGTACATATCCCATTATAAATGGTAAAAAGATAGGAAATCCAATTTGTGATTATTATCAATTACTTCTTTATAATAACACTATTATTCAATGTCTATGTGATGGGTGTGGTATTGGTATTGCACCAAAATTGGCAGCAACAGCTGCTGGACAAGCTGCAGTTCAATCAATTGCAAAAGAAATTAGAGAATGTTCAAATATTAAAGAAATAGCAGAAAATATGATTAGAGCTATTTCAGATGCACATGACAATATTTTTGTCGTTGCAGAAAATGAAAGGAAGTCATACCTTATTGGTGCTACAACAATTCAATTACAAGTAATTGTTCAGTTAGATTCTAGAGATAGAAAATTTGGTATTATCACATTAAACATTGGGGATTGTCGATCATATTTATATTCCAATTCAACACTTCGTACAATTTATAATTACTCTTCTCGTGAAAGTTTGAGTGGTTTGTTATAGTTTTGTGTTATTTTTAAAGAATGAATTTAAATATTTATCATTTGGTAGATGTTTCTAATTCACAAGGAAGAATTGGCAATGGTAAAGAAGGAATGCCTGATTTAGGGAATGCCTCTTTAACATATAATGAATGTTATGATGGGGATTTAATATTTATGTGTAGTGATGGTATAAATGATAATTTTGATCCTGAAATTATTGGGGTATCATCAGTTGGAGAAAGAAAAGATGATAAGATTAAATCAATTGAAAATTCGATTGGACAATATATAATTCATTCTAATACCCTTTCAGAAACTATAGAATCAATTGGAGAATATGTCGTAGGAGTAACTACTCGTGCACGAGAAGTTCAATCAACTCCTCAAACTCCAACAACCCCAAAAGGAAATAGAACAAAAGCTCCTGGAAAATTAGATCATTCAACAATGGCATTAGTTAGAATAGAACTTAGAAATGATAATGATTTCTTTTACATTGATTCATTTATACCATCTTATAATTACAAAATAAATCCAAATGTTAGTGATACGACAATGTATAGAAGAAGTAAAATTAGAAGAGAACATCCACAATTCTTTGTTATTAATAAAGACTTTGTTAAACCTAGAACTTCAAGTATGTCAAGAACTTTTCATTTAAAAAGTCCTATTCATTCGTTTCATTCAGCTAGTAATTCAGCTTCATTATCTCCATCATCTGGATTATGTATATCACCATTAGACTTACAATTATCACCTGAATGAATAAATTTTTTTCTTTTAACATTGCTTCTATTCTAATTGTACTTTGTTTTAATTATTAAATTAAATTTTAAAAGAAAAGGAATCAATTAAATATTCATTCATTGTAAACTCATCTTGTATGAAAGGAACTTGAATGAGAATCTACTACTAAATGAGAATAACAAAATTATCATCATATATCTTATTAAATCAACAGCATCAAATGGTAAAGTATATACTTCTAAATCTAATCCAAATCCAGCTAAGAAGAATACATATATTTTTACTACAACAACACTAAATATGAAAATTATGAAATTTAAAATAAATGAGATAAGTGTTTGTTTACCTACTAAAAATGACATATATTGTGTATCTCCTTCATTTATTTGTTTTACAAAATATTGAATATAAAGAGTGTCTAAGAAAACATAAAAAAATGAATTTGATACTCCAAAGAAGATTCCAACAACTGAAAATAACATAGAAAATTCATCAACTTCATATATACCTTCTTCATTAATTAATCCATTTTTTAATGCATTCATTGAATAATATCCAATTAAAATTGACATAATAAAAACTATAGTAACTCTCAAAATAGATTGTGTTGATTTAAATAACTTTGAATAATCATCGAAATAATTACTGTTATCTAATTGTTATTATTTTATTCATAACGTTTACTTTAATTTTAAACAAACTATTACATGTTAATGATAACATTAATGTATTTATCATCATTAAAACTGAAAATACAAATGAATTCCCTAATGCAGATAATGTTGATTGTCCAATAATAAAAAGAATTGAGAAAGCAAGTGTAAATGTAACAATTACAGTTACTCCCATAGAAATTCCAGTTCGAACCATAAATTCTTTCTTTTTATTTTGATCAAACCTTGGAGCGTTCATCTGAACTTAACAATAAAATAGATGGGATTTTATAGTTTTATTCTATTTTAATTTATTATTATAATTTATAATTTTCTTATTTACTGTTTCTATTTATAGTTGCTATAAATAACAAAAATTAAGAAAGTATAAAAAAAATCTCGTTATTTAATGGATAATTTACAAATCGGACCATCTGATGTACAAATCCATCTTGCTTCTACTCCTTATCTCTATCATTATACATTAAGATGTATGAAATCATTTATTGAATCTATTAGACCAAATGTTAATGTAATTGGAAATTTCATTTCAATGACATTATCATTTTTTCCTCCTTATCCTTTTGCAAAACAAATAATCATCAATAGGCTCTCTTCTGTTAAATCACTCCAACTTAAAATAGATGAAGTTTTTCATAACCATCTTCTTGCTCGTGGACAAGCTTTATTAGCAAGACATGGAATTTTAGGTTGCTTATTTAAAGATAAGTTTAACAATAAATTAATTGTTGTTACTGACGAATATGATTTGTATAATGCTAAAACCTTATTAGAAAGAAGTACTTATGTTGTTCTTATTCTTAGAGTACCAACAACAAATGATAACATCACTTGTACTCAAGTTGCAAAACGAATGTATCTTGGTGTATTCACTAAACAAGAAGCATCTATTTCTAGAAGAAAATTATGTCCCAACTTAATCAATCAAGATATTCATTTATCTCTACCTTCAATGAATATTATAAGATCTAATGAATGCATTGACAAAAAGAAAGAAGTTACTCCTACAATCATACCTACTAAAAAAACTAATACCCTTTCTTCAGTATTTGATGGTGATGACTTTATTAAACCTCAAGAAATTACTCTTGAATTAAAAGCAAAGAAAAAAGTTATGAGAGAATATACTCCTAAATATACAGTAAATACTAAAAAGAAATTCATTGATGAACAAAGTGAAAGTAGTGAAAGGGATCAAGCGTTTCAAAGAATTGATAATTTGTATAGTAATTTTAACGAACCAAAAGAACTTAGTAAAGAAGATTTAGAATTAATTGAACAAGATAATGCCTTCCATTTTTATGGATATGGAGATGAACGAAATGTTGTTAAACAAAGTCAATTACAAAATAAATTCTTTGTTGATTTAAAAAATGCAAAAGAAGATATCCAAGAAGAAGATGAAAAAGATGACATTGAACAACCAAATGGTATTATTCAAATGAAAGACCAATTGAATAACAACGAGAATCAGAAAGAACATCAATTGAATCCACATGAAGAAAATCCATTAATCGAACTTGTTGGAGAAAGTGAAGACTATACAGTTGAAGTTGGTTTAACATTAGAACTTCGTCATATCCTAAAATGGGATCAAGCAGATATCCAAGCACTAATGGAAAGATGTGAAGTTGACTATGATGTGTTTGATGAAAGTATTGTTGCAAAAGGTCCTCAAGCTGATATTTTTAGTCGAACCATCAGAGAATTATCAAAAGAAGTCTTTGTTGAAGAAATTGAATTATCACTTCAACCACAAGTTTGTGGTGCTTTAGTTATGGCTTTAAATGGAGAAATGACTGATTGTTCTGCTTGGTATTTTGGGGAAGTTGAATTACAATTTGAGGATGAAGATCAATTTGTTCATTATATCGAAAAAGAAGTACTAGACTTATTAGATGATGAAGAGACAAATGAACTTATTTCATTGACAGCAAAAGATAAGAAGAGTATGCAATATGGAATTGAACGGTTAAATGAATTAGCAAAGAATTACAAAGAATTTAAAATTACTGCAAAACAACAAAAAGAAATCACTCAAAAAATGAAAAAAGATAAAGACAATTACATATCTACTCAAATACTAATCAGTTATAAAGAACAATGGTATCTAATATCTTTCAATCAAAACATTCTTGAATCATTAGAGCGTGAATTGTCTTTTAAATTATAACTCTTATAATACTTATTATTTCTCTTTTTATATTTTTATCCATAAAAGAGAAAATACAACTCTGTAAGTCATGACAATAATAGTTATTTTAATGGGGATTATCAACAATAAGATCTAATACTTCTTCCATTTCTGTAATTCTAAGAAATCCTATTCTTGGCTTAATTTTATTAGTATTATGATTTAGCAATCTTTTTTACTTTAACTTAATTATTCATTTATTTTGTTGGTTCTTTCTCAAATCCCTGTATGTTCTCAGCAATCAATGTGTTATCAATGATTTGTTTTTTATTAGTGTTACGGTTTTTTATGATATAGAATAACTTATTCATTAAAATAAAACTTAAAAAAACAAAATTGAATAACAAAGAAGAATCAAAAATTTGTTTTTATTATTTTTTGTTCATAAATGAAGTTGTATAAATTCTACACATACTGAAAGAAAAAAACTCTCATTCCTTAAACTTCAAAATCAATACTAAAGATAATAAAGAAATATGCAACAAATTCAACTCTCGGAACAACAAATAAGAAAATTCATTGAAACATCAAAAGGATTATCAGAAACAACTTTTAAAACATGGTTAACTGTTTGGAATTTATTTAACTTTATTACTCAGTAGAAAGTAACGATAAAATTTATTAACAGTGGTATAGGCAAAACTTAGTAATTTTCAGGAAGAAATGAAAAAACTCATTTTAGCATTAGTCTCTGAACAACAAAAATATAAAAATCATATGGAAATTAAAGATGGAGAAAACATTGCAAATACTATTATTTCTATTTGGAATAGTTGTATTAGTTTAATTGACATTATATCACATGAAAAAACTTTAACACTAATACTACAGATTATTTATAATTGCATGAAGCAGTTTGTTAATATTTGAGATATAAAAAAAAACTGAATGAAGTAAGGTTAATTAATAGTCCAATATTTACATTGTTTCAAGAATGTATTGTAACAAAGGCAATTAAAAGAAAATGTATTGATGATTGTTTTGGAATATTTAGTAAATATAAAAGATTATTTATTCATACTATCCAATGTATTGAAAGAATATTTAAGAGAATATATGATGAAAAAGTAATTGTTATTGAATCAAATAAGGTAATTATGAAATTATGTGGTTGGATTATTGGAAGAGCATGTCTTGTTCTTCCATCATTATATCTAGGATTAATGAAAATTATTGAAATACCAGATGGTGGGATTAGAATTATTGATTCATTACCAAATAAAATGATAGAACGAGTATTGCCAGAAGAATATCAAATTGCAATTCCAAATGATAATTTAGATATTAATGAAATTCTTCAATATTATTCAATGAATGATTTTATTGTTTGTATTACTAAAGGATTTGTTCTTGGTGCATTAGAAAATGATAATTTTGAACAACTATTAAATGAGTCAGTTGAATATCAATGTCTTTTATCAAAATATTTTAAAATTCATGGGGAATCAATAAGACATCAACAAGGTTATTCATTGAATAAATTCTTATTTAGTGTTGACTCAACTTTACTTAATCAAATATTTTCAATGGTTGTTACAAATACAAATTACTTAAATTATCAGTCAATTATTAAAATGGCTAATACATTCAATAAATACATTAATTTAATTACTCAACACCACGATGTTTTTAATCCTTTGACTAGATTACCTTTTGATAGTAAACTCTTAATAAATGCTTTTCATATTTCAAAACTTGCTGATAACTCATATGCATTAACAAAATTAATAGACACACTTTATCATTCCATTCAAACTTTTCCAACTGAGTCAAGAGTGCCTATTATAACTTATTTAATTAATGATAGTTTCTATTTCTTCTTCACTCATTGGTCAGATATTGTTCGTCAACACTTTCATTATTTTATTCTTTATAGGTCAACATTATGTTGGATTAAAGACATTTATAACAATAAACTCACTAAACAAGAAACAGAAATATATCAATCAAGAACAATTAAGAAGTACAATCCTTTGGATGAAGATATGAAGTTAATATTAAAAGTACGTGAAAACAGTCATGTATTAGAAAAAACAAAAGACACTTTTCCTTTAAAAGAAAGAATCATTATTGAACAATCTACACATGATTTCAGAACTTTGTCTAAAGAGTCAATTCAATGGACTACGTCAAGAAGAAAACTAACTGAA